AGTCTGACGCGACCGACGCGGCCGCGGCGGCGCTGGCCGCCAGGGACTTCCAAGCGATTTTCGCAGGCCGCGCTGACGAACGGACCCCTCAGCGCGAGTCGGCGACTCGGGCGGGCGCGGCATCGCGGCGACGTCGACAGCGGCGGGCGCGAGGAAAATAATGGCGGTGCCGGCGACAACGATGACGACGACGACGGCAAGACCAATGGCGGCGCCAACGCTGATCGAGCTGGCGGCGACGATTGCGCCCGCGCATCGGCGACGAAGGCGCCGACGAGCGCGCGCGGCCGATGGGCGCGAGCGCCCCGCGCGGCAGAACTCGACAGAGAAACAAACACAAAACGAACAAAAAACGCGAACGATTGCAACGCGCGCGCGCGAGAGGCCCGTTTGGTCGCACTTGACGAACGCGTTGAAAGACCAATGGCTATCTTGAGCAGCGCGCCCAGCAGGCCGCGCTGACGCGCAGGCGCTTCAGTGCGAGTCGGTGAATCGGGCGGGCGCGGCGCCGCCGCGACGGCGACGACGGCGGCTGCAAGACCAATCGCAGCGACGACGCCGATCGCGCCGACGACGACGACGGCGCCCCCGCGTCGGCGACGAAGGCCGCGGAGGGAGAGTTCGACGCGCGCGCGGCCGACGGGCGCGAGTGGCCCGCGAGCATCGCGCGACGGGGATCGCGCCGCCCCCCCCCCCCTCCGCGCGCGAGTGCAAAGGCGTTCGAATCATGGAGACACGCGCGCGCGAGAGGCCCGTTTGGTCGCATCTGATGAACGTGTCGAGTGAAAAAGTTGAAACACCAATGGCTTCCCGAAGAATTCGCAAGAGCGCGCGCGAACCTTTGAAACAACAAACTGTCTTCGAAGAAACATGAAAGGGTTGCAACACCACTTGCGTTTGACACGTTGCGGGGGCCGCGGTCTTGAAACCCGCGCGACACCAGATGTGCTTGGCGGATTTCGGCGCGCGCGCGCGTCGACGCACGCGCGTGCACTTCGTTTTGGTTATCGCTCGGGATTCTTGCGCGTGGGTGGTTTTCTATAAGCGAGCGCGCGCGTCGCATTCTTTGCAGGGGGCGACGGGGGGGGGGGGGGGGGGCGTCGGACCAGGCTTGGCTGGGATGGTGATAACTCATCTTCAGATCGAACGATAGGGCAGAATCACATGTAATTTGCACCATCCCCAAGATGAGCGGATGACTCCAGGGGGGGGTGGGGGGCTACCCCACCACGGAGTCATCCGGGGGGGGGGGGGGGGGGGGGTAGAGTCTATTTCCATTTGTTCCATAAAAAACTTACGCGGCGCAACGTATGCCGCAGAAGTCGCCCTGCCGAACTTGGCTCGCGCAAACGCCCCGTCCGCCCGCCCGCTGCGCGATATGCGCGGCCCGCGCGGCTGCGACTGCGACGACTGCCCGTCGCTGGCTGGCGCGTCGCTGCGGCCGCGCTGCGCGCGCGCAGGCTCGCGCGCAGCGCGGCCGCCTAGTCTGGCGCGACCGACGCGGCCGCGGCGGCGCCGAGCGTCTCGCAGGCCGCGCTGACGCGCGAGCACTGCAATGCAAATCGGCGACAGGGCGCGGCATCGCGGCGACGTCGACGACGGCAGGCGCGACGCCAATAGTGGCGGCGCTTGCGACGAAGATGACGATGACGACGGCAAGGCCAATGACGGCGCCGTTGCGCCGATGACGACGACGGCGCCCACACGTCGGCGACGATAATTGCAGGCGGGCGCCTCGACGCGCGCGCGCGGCCGACGTGCGCGAGGGCCCCGCGTGACGTTATTTCAAAAGGATCGCGCCCCCCCCCCCCCCCCAGCGCGCGCAAGGGTGTTCGAGCGATTTCGAAGCGCGCGCGGGAGGCCCGCGCGGTCGCATCCGATGAACACGCTGGAGAATTTATGGCTGCCTTAAGACTCGCACTAGCGCGTGCATACCTGCGGCAGACATGGCGAGACCATGTGATATTAATACATTTCGGACCACCCGATGGCGCATTCATTGCGAAGCCGCAAGTGATTGGCGGATTTCAGCACGCGCGCGAAATAGCGCGCGCTTCGTCCAGTTTATGCGATTGGTCGAAGGAAGCAGATGATTGTTGATAAACGGGTTCGAACGCAGTTTGTTGCATGCAATGGTCCATGGAGAGGACTGGCCTCGGCTTGGCCGGGGCGGCGTGAATTCTCATATAGTATATGCGAAGGACCATAAACAGGCGTCGACTGCACATCCCCTGGGAAATCGATAATCCCTGCCTCGGGTGGGCGGGCGGTAGATCCTAATTCTTCCTTGGGAAAGGTGGATCTGCGCGGTGCAATTAATTATGTAAAACTAGGAGTCGCCAGCTCCACTGCTCGCGAGAACATCCCGCCGCTCCCCCCCAAGCTGGCTTTGAAACCCACGCGGCGGCGGTGGCGACGACTGCCCGGCGCTTGCCGGCGCGTCGCCGCGGCCGCGCCGGCGAGCGGGCTCGCGCGCAGAGCGGCCGACAAGTCTGGCGCGACCGACGCGGCCGCGGCGGCGCTGGCCGCCGAGGACTTCCCAGCGGGCACTTCGGCGCGAGTCGGTGACTCGGGCGGTCGCGGCGTCGCGGCGACGTCGACGACGGCGGACGACGGCGACAGCAGTGATGGCGAACGACGATGGCGATGACGAGCGACGGCGCCGAAGCTGATCGCCCCGATGAAGATGGCGACGCCCTCGCGTCGGCGATGATGGCTCCTGAGGGAGTTTGACGCGCCCGCGTGGCCGACGCGCGCGAGTGGCCCGCGCTGCTTTATTTGACGCGGATCGCGCCCCCCGCGCCCCGTCCCGCCCCGCCGCCAGCGAACGCGATCGGGCCTTCGAATGATTTCGAGTGCGGCGCGAGTGGCCCGCTTGATCGAGCACGATGGAAATTTGGAAACATGGTTCTCTTCTGATGTCGCAAGGGCGCGCCCCCACGTTTTCTGCATGCGATAAACGAGCGCGCGCATGACAGTCGCCGCAGTCGATCAGGGGGGGATAACGGACGGCCTGGGATGGCATAAATTTTTGAATTCAGGATGGGCGATGGGACAGAAGCACACCCGCCGCGAGCTGCAATGCAAAAGCGCGGGCGGTCAAGTCGGGGGGGGGGGGGGCAGATCCGAAAGCCTTCTTAGAGCGGAGACATCGCCCTGTCGAACATGAAATTGTCAACTCCACTTCTCGCGAAGTCACCCCGCCAACCCACCCGCAACTTGGTTTGCAAAACCCGCGCGGCGGCGGTTGCGATGACTGCCGGCGCTAGCTGGCGCGTCGCTGCGGCCGCGCAAGCGCGCAGGTTCGCGCGCAGAGCGCCCGTCAAGTCTGGCGCGACCGACGCGGCCGCGATGGCGCCGACTGCTAGTCCGGGCTAGCGCGCGGGCGCTCCAGTGCGAGTCGGAGGCTCAGGCGGGCGCGGTATCACGCCGACGCCGACAACGGTAAACGCGACGATGAGAGCAGCGCTGCTGGTGACGACGATGGCGATGACGACGGCAAGGCCAATGACGGCGTCGATGCTGATCGCCCCGACGACAATGACGGCGCCCACGCGTCGGCGATGAAGGTTTTGGAAGGATTTCGGCACGCGCGCACGGCTGACGCGCGCGAGTGGCCCGCATGACGTTATTTTACGAAGATCGTGCCCGCCCACCCCACCCCACCCCACCCAGCACACAAAGGCGCTCGAATGACTTCGACATGCGCGCACGAGAGGTCCGTTCGGTCGCAAGTGAGGAACATGTATAACAAAAACGGTGGTTGCCTGGAGGATTCGCAAGAGCGCGCGCAGATGTCTTAACTGTGTTGCTAACCAAGTGTGTTTTGCTTTCAGAGTTTTCACCGGTACTCAATTTTGAATTTTCTACGAAACCTAAAATTGTCGAATAATTTCGGCATGCCCGCGCGACGACGCGCGCATGTGCATTTCGTCCCGTTTGTATCTATATGGGTTATTGCAAAAACAGGTTTGTTGATAGACTAATGCGCGCGCGATATTGTTTGACGAAGATGATGGGGGGGCCGGCCTGGCTGGGATGGTATGGATTCATACGTTCAATGAACGATGGGGCACAATCGTCTGTAAACTACACATCCCCAGGGCAGAACGATAATCCCGGCAGGGGGGCGGTGGTGGATCCTGATTCCTTCTCAGACATGAAAACCTACGATGAACGGCGACAGGGCGACGACGGCGGGCAGAAAGCCGCTGGACGGGCACACGGGCCCCGACGGGCGGCGACGAGGCGGTGATGGGGCGACGACGGCCGACGGCGGGCACATAGCATAGCCGCCAGACCGGCATACAGGCCCAGGCGACGGGCTGCGCTGATGAGGCGGCGACGGGGCGGCGACGACGGGCACGCATCCGCCAGACCTGCACACTGGCCCCATCCCTTGGAAAACAACAAAGAACCCCTAAGTGCAAGCAGCGTTTGGGGAGTAGTGGAATTTCTCTTGGGATTCCCGTAAACCTTATGTCCCGACATCAAAAACAATGCAACATGCACAAGGATGGAAGCCGACTCGCTTTCTAATCGGGACTGTCCCTTGAGCTTTCTTTTGGGTGAATGACCAGACGCTTACGGAAAAATGTGCACGAAGTCAGGGCAGCTATTGTCAGGGCAGCTATTTTCAAACTGGGTCTATCGATAGACACTTCCTTGGACTTTATGATATTTCCTCGTCGCCGTACCTGAGGACACTGTAGCCACGAGCAGGACCATGGGGGTGCTCGTCTTTCAAGGGGGGCCTGTCCCGCAATGAGAAGTAATCCCTTCTGGGAGCTGCGAGGAGGAAATTTGGGACGGGCGGGCGCATCGCAGCGCCGCTGACGCAACTTCCTTCTACTCTGGTCTTCCTCCTCCTGCTGCTCAGCATCCCTCCTCCCCCCCCTCCCTCTCCGCATCCTCCGTCCGCCTCCCTCCTTCCGCCCTTCCCCCGTCCCTCTCCCTCTCCACCTCCTCCACCCAGGGCCGGAGGCGCGGGGGAGCGCGTCCCAGAACCCGAGGGGCGCAGTGGCGCCGACCTGCACGGAGGGGTCGAAGGCGCCGCCCTTGGCCTGAGCTGCCATGACATCGAAGACGCGGGGTAGGCGGGGAGGGATGGGGGGGGAGGAAGGGGGAGGGAGGGGGAGAAGGGGAACGACGAGGAGAACGAGGAGAGATGCGGGAGGCTTTTGGTGGACTCCATGAAGGCACTGCGGATGGCGCGCCTCTAAGATTCGCAGAGATGCTGAGGAACCCTGGCGAACTACGACAAAAAAAGACAGAAACCAAGTATTCCGCTTCGGGCGATCCCCACCAATGACTTCCAGTTCATCGATATGCATGCTCCAAGTTGTGTTGAGAACACATACTATCGATGTATATGTTGTGTGCTTGTGTGTGGTGTATCTTATTAGGGGCATCGTATGCATGCCGCACTCATGTATGAATGCATATGTGTATACACGCATACATATGTATACATATATATATATATATATACACATACACACATATGTATATATACACACATACACATATATCTGTGCATCATAGCCCGTGCCCTGAGGCACGAATTGGAGTGCCCTCGGGTCCTTCGAGTCCTCAGTTATCAACGATCGAGTATAAAAGGGCCCGGACCTCAGATGGCCTGATTGGCCAGGGCTTCCCGCTTGACTTCTGGGGCATCCCTCATGCCGGGGCGTGTTCCAGCATGCCGCTTGACTTCTGAGGCTTCCCTCATGCCAAGGCGTGTTCCCACATGATTTTGTCGGAGCCAAAAACGCCCAAAGACGGTGCAAGAGGGCACCGAGACGGTTCAAGAGGGCACCGAGTCGGCTCAAGAGCACTCCAGACGGCTCGAGACGGCTCGAGAAGCCGCATGGGCGATTTCAAAAGGCAGGGGGCGGCGATGACTCGCCGGAGGTGTCTTCGATCTATGTGTGTGGTGCCTGGTATTGGTGGATATCATCATTATATGCGTGTGATGACTGCTTTTGAAAGTTGTTGCTGGTGTCTGTTCTTGAAGTGTGCTATCGATGTACGCTCTTGATGCCTCTGAGGGAGGTGGTTCCCAGAGGTCTCTGGAGGTTTCTGGAGGTTAGAAGCCTCCGCAAGCCTGCGAGGCCCAAGATATTCAAGATAACCTGGACAAAAAAGGAAAAGAGGGATAGGGGATGACAAGTTAGGTGCGCTCGCGTCATATCTGACGTCTTACCCCTCCCTCCCATCCCTTACCATAGCGTTGATATCCTCACTATACTCGCACAGTCGGATGTCGAACAGGGCAATGATCGCGAGAGGGTACGCGATGCATGCTAGAGCACGACATGGCATGGCGTAGAAGAGCACGGCAGAGAGTAGCATGCCATAGCATGGCGTGGCATTGCGCAGTGAAGCATTGCATCACAAAGCATTGCAACGCAAAGCATGGCATCGCACAGCGGAGCAGAAGACAACACCGCACAGAATGTCATGGAATGGCGCCCAGGTTCATCGGAGGGTAAATTGAGAGGGGCTTCTGCGGCCCAAAAAATCAACGAATCGACACCAAACGTGTAATCACTTCCGATGGCTTTCTCCAGGGGGTGGTATTTTTTAGATTTGGGGCCTACTTGAAAGGACCGAAAAAGCAAGCACTGCAGCCGGAGCACGACTTGGAACAACCAGAGGCGCAGAAATGCGGCAAGCGCTTCAGCGGAAGCAACATTTTGGAAACAAGCCCAAGCGAAAACCCGATTCCCGGGAATCCTGTGTAACAAAAAATACACTGAGGGGGGCCGGATATTTCCCGGACGTCATCAAGGGAGAGAGGAGAGTAGTATTCATATTGTGTAATTGTAGAGGGGAGGAGGAGGGAGAACAAGGGAGGATTAGGGAGGACGAGGGAGAGGAGAATGAGGGAGGAGGGGGGCAGGGACGAGAGTGGAGGAGTGAGGAGAAGGAGGAGGGGTAGGAGGAGTACTCTGGGCGGAGGAGGGGTGCGAAGGCGCGGCCTTGCGGGCGACTCCGCGCCTGCCCGCCGCCGCCGCCGTCAGCCCGGCGCCTCCGAGGGGGCATCTCTTCTTATGCTGCGGTTCCTCGCAGGAGAAGAGGAGGGAGGAGTGGAGCGGATGGAACGCATTTTTGTTCCCAGCGGGCTGACGGCAATGAGGGGCAGCATCCGATGAAACTCAAGTCAAGTCACGCGTCCTCCAGATCGGTGTCTGGGCAACTCCACGAACCGATGGGATGGATTGGAATCAAAAAGACCGCTCTGGAAAGATTTAAGAAGAGCCGCGTGCTGAAAACAAGGTGGGGAGCGGAACGGCGAGGACCCCGACGCCGTGTGCCCGCCATCACGCGGGGCGCGGCCACCGCCAGGCTCCTTCGCCACCCTCGCGGCGGGAGATGGAGATGGAAGAGGAGGGGTAGGAGAAGGAGGGGGGAGGAGGGAGAGAGGGAGGGAGGGAGGGAGGGAGGGAGGGAGGAGGGAGGAGGAGGGAGGGAGGAGGAGGGGAGGGAGGGAGGGGGGGGGGAGGGAGGAGGGAGGAGGAGGAGGGAGGAGGGAGGAGGGAGGAGGGAGGAGGAGGAGGAGGGAGTAGGAGGAGGAGGGAGGAGGAGGAGGAGGAGGAGGATTGCGTCGCATCTTGGTGCCATTGAGGGCCACTCCGCTTTTCCCACACTGTGTCGCCTGCTTTTACTTTGCGGCTGCTGCTGTTGCACGTACTTCTTAGTGAACGTTTTCTTATTCGGCGTTTCGACATTGCGCGGAAGGAGGGGGGGAGGGGGGGGGAGTCTGGCTCCGGCCCTCTGCTTGATGCGACTGTTTGTAGTGTAACAGTGCGTCTTATGGGAAAGAGACTCCACCTGCTCGAGACAGGGGCCAAAACAGCCAAGATCTACTCCTTAGGGGGGGAGAGAGAGAGGGGTACGAGGGCCCGCGCAGATCGGCAAAACAACGAATAAGAAAACCATCACCTAATTTCATCGCGTTTGGCGATACGGTCACTGTTCGCCTAAGTAAGTCGGGGCACCGAACGAATGAGGGAGGGGGAAGGGCAGAAGGAGAAGCAGGAGGAGGAACTCGTGTTCCAATGACCTCGAAAGCCAAGGACGAGGATGGCTACTCCGGTTGCTTAATAAACATCCCGCCCACGCCACCCCGACCGACGACTCGTTCTGCCCCCCCCCAAAAACCACACGCCCACCGAACACAACCCCTCGAGCGATCCAACCCTCCCACGAATCGCCAAGGCCAGCCCGTTCCTACACCACCCCACGCGATCCCCCCCGCCATTTTGAAACAGCCTCGGGTCACCTTACAAGAGTTCCATGTGCTGTGCTCTCTTCTGTGCTGGCACGGGGATGAAGGTGTCCTGGCGAAGACGGGCGGGGGCCCACGCTCCTGCATGAAGCGTGAAAGGGATCGCGGGCGCCACAGTGCGGCCAGGCACATTTCGGGATGCAAGCTGGTACCTCCTTCCACCCTCCCCTCCATCGCCTCCTCCATTCGGAGGAGGACGAGCAGGAGGAGGAGGAGGAGGGAGTAGGAGGAGGAGGAGGAGGAGGAGGAGGAGGAGGAGGAGGAGGGGGAGGGGGAGGAGAAGGAGGAGGAGGCAGAAGGTCAAAACCTTGGCAGATCGCTCGGGTGCAAGCTGGCTTCGGGGAGGAGGCAGGAGGACGAGAGGAGGACGATAATGATGTTTACCAACGTCAACCATGGTGGATGGGCCACAGGCCAGCAGTCAGAGAGAGCTGACGACGAATGGAGAGGAGGAGGGGGAGGAGGCATGAGGGACGTCAGCTTTGAGGCTGAGATCGGGCATCTTTGAATTTACACCTTTGCAAAAGGGCTTAAAGTCTGTTTCATCGTGGGCGGATTGCACTCCATGGCCAAGCCTTGAAAAGAGCTTTGGGTGGCCTACAAGTGGCACTTCAAACGGACTGAGCGCCCTGTCCGAGCACTCGCCCTTTTCAAGCCCATCGACGCGCCTGGCCACCGCCAGGCGCGCTGTGTAAAGGCGCGCGAAGAAGCTGGGTGCCGCTGTGGCTGGTGCGCAGCCATTTTGCAACACGCGCTGGAGCAATGCTTCCAGATCATGTTGCGTCCACATCATGAGTAGTCAGTCTGGCTCAGCAGAGTCCCGAAATCGACGAAGCGTCAACCCGATACAAACAGAAACGATGTGTTCTCATTCTCTGGCTCGGTTGCCACAGCTTGAGCGGGGTCCGCAAGCTGGTGCGCTCGCTGCCGTCATGGAGGCGCGACCGCGACAAGGAAGTCCTGCACGGCCTTGCCCGACAAAACTCGAGGCACACCTTCTCGCTGGCACGCCCGAAGAGGGCACGGACAGAACTAGAAGGATGCTTAACAGCTAACGTCATCCAAAGCCGAGGGCGGCCGCTGTTGGGCAGGCGACCCTGTCTCAAAGAGACAACGTCCGCGGCGAAAGCAACAGCGAGTCCGGTTCGAAACATGCGAGAACTGCTTTCAATCTTCGTTCCCTCTCTTGCCGCACTCATTTCGATCGTACCGATCTCGCCCAGCAGAGATCGACGGGGGGCAGGGTGCGGCCGGCGCTGGTGGGCGAAGTGGGGCGTCCGGCGCACCCGGAGAAGGTCGAACATGCCGACACAGACCGAGCCCAGCAGGAGCCAGGATGGCCTGAGCTAAAACGGCTGGGGGAGGGGGAGGGCGTGGGATGACGCTACTTTTCGCCGCGGGGCTTCGCAAAGAGCGTTCGACAGACCTGGATCCAGGGCACGGAAAAGTCCTCCGATCCCCTTCCCCCCCCCCCCCCTCCCAACCGAGCAGCGGGATTGTCCGCGATGACCGCGCCAGCGCGCGCTGGCACTCCGAAGATGGGGCGCCCCAGGGGGAGCAGGCCCCGAACGGTGCAGACTCCACCAGGAGGCCGTTTCCTGCCCTCAGGGCCCCGTCCCTGCGGACCCCGTCTTTGCACCCCCGAGAGACGGAGGGGGAGGGGGAGAGGGGAAGCCCCCCCCCCTCCCTCCCTCCTCGCAGGCCCCCGTGCTCCAGGCCTGCGCCCACGAGGGTGGCCGCCGTCCAGGGCGTCGACGCCGCGGGCGCCGGCTGCGCGGCGGCCTGGCGGACCGGGGGGGGGGGGGAGGGCGGCGCAAAGCGCAAGGCGGGAGGATGGAGGAGAAGCAGGAGGATGAGGAGGATGAGGATGAGGATGAGGATGAGGATGAGGAGGAGGAGGAGGAGGAGGAGGAGGAGGAGGAGGAGGGGGAGGGGGAGGAGGAGGAAGAGGATGGCCATTTCTTTCTCTTGCTCTTTCAGCTGCATGCCCATCTCCAAAGTCCCTTCCTTCTACATGCTCGTCTCAAGCATAGCTTCACATCACTTGGCGGCCGTTTCGTAGGGACGCAACGCGTACCGTCCCCTAGACGGGTACGGGGGATGAAATCCTCGGATCGCCCATCATCGGGCCTCCGACTGGAGCCGATAGATCCAGGCGCACCATGTGAGGCCAAACGCTCTTCGCAAATGGCCCGCTGGTCGAGATCACCGGGCCTGACCCAGGGATCCGATCAGAACAGGGAGGCCACAAAACCAACACGAAACCACATCCCGCCACCCGCACAACGGGCGAAAACTCCCGATCCGCTCCACAAGCCTCCAAACGGCGCCGTAAATTATATGCGCCTCGACCCCGTCCGCCTCCGATATGGAGTTCGACTTCTCTGCGTCCGTCTTTCGAGGTCGCCGATGCGGCCAAGAGCTCCAGGACGGATGAAGGAACATCTCCGCTCCTCGGGTTTTGTCTGAGAGGGGGCCGCAACTCACCAAAAGGACTCCTATCAGGCCCAGCGGCAATGCAATGCAGTGCGGAGGTCAGCGGTGACGAGGCGGGCAGGGTGGTGTGATAGTCGGAGCCAGGTGGGTGCGGGCTGCCTGCGGGGAGCCTGGTGCCTGCCTCTCTTAGGGGGGTTGTGCCCAGCCTGCCAACGAGGGAGTATCGGGCTCAATGTGCAAGGCGGCCCAGGCAGGGGAAAGGACAACCCTACTCACCACAATGCCGCGCGCAAGGCACAGTGGCAATGCAATAGCTGGATTCTCGACTCGACTCGCGCCCCGTTCAGCCAAGAAGGCTGGCCCCAGTTCAAGGGAGGAGCGGCATGCTACAGCGGTGCGGTGCCCCGCACCGAGCGGCGGGTGAGACATGTAGCTCGCTCTCAGTGCTGGAGGATATTGAAATCACCTTCCCGAAGCAGACCAAACTTCAGGAATTTCGACAATATCCCTCAAACTTCCGTCGCTAGTCTCCAAAACATCGTGCACAAATCAAACTTAAGTCATCCTCCCACCTCCTCGATGGCCCTCCGATGCGGTCCCGCATTTTCTGCGTCCGCCCCGGCTCCCACAGCAAAACTTTGAAAGACCATTCAGACGTACCCCTCCCCACTAACTAGCCAGCTTGTTTCGACTTCTTCAACCCAATTCTCAATATCCATTTTGCCCAGCTGCCCCTCAATGGCCTGCGTCGTCCGCTCCAGCCATTCAACCCAAGATTCAACCTCGTCGTTCTCGCCGTCCGCGTGCACGTCTTGATCGGCATTGCTGCTGGAAGAATCACATATTTTCCTGCGGCGCCTTCCTGACCTGAGCACTACATGCAGCATCTGCCTCTCCGTCTTCAGCATGGTTCGTTCCATCTCCGCTGTCAGCGCCCAGCAGGACGAGCCGTAGAGGGCGCGCGGTGTGATGGTGCTCTCGAGCAGGCGCAGCCTTGCCCGCAGCGGGTAGCTGTTGTTCGTGACCTCGCTGTCGAAAACGTGGAACTTCCTCCAAGCAGCTTGCGTGCGATTGTCCATCTCTGTGCATTGTGCGTTTTGAAATGAGATCTTCCCCAAAATACTTTGTCGAATCAGATCTCTTGAGCAGCTCAATTTTCACGTTTGCGATGCCGATGAATTGTTGAACAGTTTCGCCACGTCTCGCCCGAACGTTCGCCATCAGTTTCGTCTTTCCCCCGGTGCAAAGACAGCCCACAGGTTGCACACTCTTTGGCAACGTCCGCCAGCATCGCTTTGATGTCTTGTAAGGAGGAGCTTACCAACAAGACGTCGCCAACGAACCTCATAATACTATTTGGCTTTAGCCGGGCGCGGTTATGTCTGCCTGCCCAGACTTGTTTGTGCCCTCTGGCGGTGGCTGGAGGCTGGAGTCTAATGGTGTCTACCTCCCCAAAGAATGCCGCGCTTGGTCTGTCTGCGGGGGCACATCGGGGTCAAGGTGCAAGGCGGGGAAAGGACACCACTACGCACCAGATCGCCTGTGAGCCAGTAGCGGCGGAGTGGGTGGCGGGCTCGTCGGGGCTAGCCGGGAAGGGGCCCCTGCCTGCCGCCTGGCCCAACGCGTGCCCTCCGACTGCGGCTGGAGAAGAAAACTCCACAAACCTTCCTGAAAAAAATGGTTGAACCGGTCTTTCTGTAATGGAACCCTCCAGAAGCCTTCCTACGAAAGGTTTTTCTGGCCCGCTTTTGACTGAAGCCCTCGAACAACCTTCCGGCGGATTTGTCGCATGTTCTTTGCAAGAAACCCTCCGCGCACTTTCCTGCGGAAGTCTCTTCGTATGATTGTTTGACAGGAGCCCCCAAATAAACCTCTCAGAGGAAGGCGTTGGCAGATGTTGGAGAGAAACTTGTTAATTAGCTCCTCAAGGAAGGCTTTTGGAAGAAAGCCGACCAACATACCTGCATATGGAAAGTGTTCGAAAGGTTCTTTGGTTGGGCTGGTTTTTTGATGTTTGTTTGGAAGAAAGCATGCTAAAACATGTCCGAGAAAAGGTTTGGCACATTTGTTGGGAAATCGTCCAAAACCTTCATGAAAGGGTGCTTGGATGTCTGCTGGAAAAAAATCCCGAGGAAGGTTTGGCGGAGAATTAATTGTTTTGAAGAAGCCTTCCAAAAAGCTCCAGGCGGAAGGTCGTTGGGAGAAACCCGCCAAAACTCGCATTGCGGGAAGCTTTTCGGGTGGTTTCCAGAGGGCCCCCCCCAAACAAATCCGGCCTGATGAAAGCTTTTGATGGGTTTTTGGGTGAAGCGTTCCAGAAGCCTCTTCCTGATGGAAATTGCTGGGGGGGGTTTGGAACAAGTCCTCCAAAAAAACTTGCCGAGGGAGAATTGCGAAAGATTTCAAAAAGGTCTGGCCGAACTGGCGCGCCCGACTGTCCTCGCGGGTCAGATGATTCGCCGCGCTGTCCACATCGCCGCGGCTGCCGCTTCTCCTCGGACGGCGGCGCAGTCGGTGGCCCAAGGGCCAGGGGCGCCGCGATCTCTGGCTGCGGCGGGCTGGGCGGCTGCTCTGCGGAATTGATGGAAGCGTGGGCGTGGAGAAGCCCAATGTAGTTCCCATCCGCTGCCTCGGCTGCGCCTGCTTCCTCCTTGCCATTTGTCGGGGGGTTCGTCCTGTTCTCGCCCTCGCCGGCCGTCGCCTGCATCTCTTCGCGCCCGCGGCTCAGGCGCCGCTGGCGCCCCTCGCGGTTGGCGGGGGGCGCGGGTGAGGCGGCGGCCCCGGGCTCCAGGCGCCCCCAGGGCCGCGCCGCGGCCCGCCCAGACTCGCGCGTCGGGGCCCTCGTCCCGAAGGAGGATCGCGCGGGGCCCCATCGCCGCCCGCAATCGCCGTCGCCTCGCCGCTGTTGTAGGACCTCGCCCCCCCTCCGCTGGGGCGGCTCATGCGTTTGTTCTCTTGGAAATGAGGGGCGCCTGATCCTCGGCCCCCCTGGGCCGAGGCAGCAGCGCTCTTGTGCCAGGCTCCCCCGTGGGGAGACTGGCCTCGCCGCCCGGCGGTCGCCGGCACCCGCCCGCCCGATCCTGCGCGGCCCCCGCCTGCGACGCCACCCCCTGCCTGCGCTGCACCATTCTGGCTGGCGTCGGGGGCGGGCCTGGCCTTTCGCTCGGCGGGCCCGATTGCCCCCGCCCCTGATTTCTCAGGTGGCGACCCAGTGCCATCCAACACTTAGTTTGAGGATCAGCCTGAGGGCCGCTCTCGCAACCTTCGCCTACCTGTCCGAGCTGTCTCCGATTAGCTCGAAGCCGGGGTCTGCTCGGCGCCCCAATGCCGCCATTCCTTTGGCGACCTGAGCGCGCCCGCCCTCGCCCCCCGCGAGGGTCTGTCGGAGCGCCCGCGAGCCCGCCCGCGCGGGCCGCGCCGAATGCGACTGCCTGCGCGGCCCGCAACGAAGCCTGCGTGCCACGAGAAGGGGCGGCCTGTGAGGCGCCTCCAAATGGGCCTTGCCGGAGGCCAGCCTGGCCTCGGCCCTCGAAATGGCGCGCGCGGCTGCGAGTCGCGCGATGACGCAGCTGCCCCGGCCGCGATGCGATCAGACAGATTAAATGTGCGCGCGCGGCCCCGAAGCCCCGCCCACCCCCGGCGGGGCCATTCCCTTCCGCGAGGGCGCGCCCCCCCGTCGAGGGCCCCCCTCCCGCCCGCGGCGAAATTGGAGGGCGCGCGAACGGGCGGGCGTCTGCGCGGCGGGGGGCGCCCACCAGTCGACAAGGGTTCGGGGCTACCCCGCAGGCGCGCCGGCAGGCGCAGGCGGGAGCCCCTTGCCGGGGTCGCGCGACGATCCTGGAGTCTCGACCGCGCGACGACCAGACAGACGCAAGGGGGGCGCAGCGCAACCCGGGAGCCCCGCCTGCCTCCCAGAGGACCACCCCCTCGAGGGCGCGCACCCCCGGCGAGGGCCCCCCCCCCTGCTCGCAGCGGCAGGGGCCAGCGCGCGAACGGGCGGGCGCCCGCAGATCGACGGGGTTCGGAGCCGCCCCGCAGGCGCGCCCCCCTCCGGGCCCCTCCGGAGCTCCGCCGCGCGCGGCCAACCTGTCCAAAATGCGACATGGGCCCAAAAGGCGATCGCAGCGCCCGAATAACGCCGGGCCTCGCGGCGGCTGTCTCGCGCGACCCTCCGCTGGCGAGGCCCCCGCCCCGATGGGCCATATGGGCCCCCGCGCCGCGGATGCAGGCGCTTCCTCTTGCGCGGCCCGCGCCTCGCGGCCAGCTGGGGCCGCGGCGCGCGACCGCCTCGCGGCCGCGCGCTGCCCCTGGCCGCGCGGCGGCCAGTCTGTCTGCGCGACGGCGGCGCCCCCGACCGGCGCGTCGTCCAGGGCGCCGCCGCTGCCTTTGCCCGAGCGCCCGGCGCGCCCCGCCGACCTCGATCAGAGCTCGCTGTGGGCTCGATCAGATTCTCTGCGGCCGCATTCTGGCGCTCGCGCGCGCGCGCCCCCGCGGCCTGGCCAGCCGCCTTCCCTTCCTGCCCGCCCTGGCTATCCGCGGGTTGCCCGCGGGGCCCGAGCGCGGCGGCCTGTGGTCAGGCGCCTCGTCGCAAGTGTGCGGCGCCCGGAATGGGGCGGGCCCCCGCGCGGGCAGAAGGCGCGGCAGTTGCCAGTGAAACTGCTCGGGAGAAGGCGCGACGAGTCCTCGGTCAGCGCGGGCCGGTAGCTCCCCGAGCATGTCCGCGGCGATCCTCTCCCCCAAGAGAGAGGGCGCGTGCTTGATGAAATTATTGTCGCCTCGTCGCCGGGGCCGATGGCGCCCCCGGTCGCGCCGAGCCCCCCCTCCAACGGCCCGACTAAGCGGATCTGCCAACCGCCATGGTGGAGATTGCGGACGCCAGCTCGGCCGTTATCGGCGCCGTCAACTGCGCCCTCCTGCTCCGGGATGCTGCGGCCGAAATTGACCATCTCCGCCTGGTCGCCCAGGCCGTGCTCTCGGGTCTGCTCAGCGCGCCCAACCTCCCCGTCGCTGGCCAGCTCCGTGCAACCCTTCTCGACGATGGAGCGCGACGGGAAGATGGCGGCGCCGCGCCCCTGCGCGTCGGCGCCCCTCGCCGACCGCCCGCGGCCGCAGCTTTTGCGCGCGCACCTCCAATGGCCTCCGGCGGCGGCGCCCACAGGATCGCCCTCCTGCGCTGGCACAGCTCAGCGCGCCCACTCACGCGGCTCGAGGGGGGCCGCCCTGCAGCGCGGGCACGCGCGCATTGCGCGGTTGTCCCCGCCGAAGGCAATCGCGAAGCCTGCCGCAACATCCAAACGCTCGTACTTCAGGATGGCCCTGTACACCTTCTCCACACTAACGCGCGGGGCCACCAGCCCACCCTCGTGCTTCGCGAGCTCCTCGTCTATAGCAAGCTCGATGGTATTGGATTGCCGCGTCGGCGACTCACTCCCCTGCTTGCTCCTCAGGTTGAGCCACCCGGAATTCAAGCTGGAAGTATCCGGCCTGAGCCAGAACTCCGCGTCGACGCGCTGATTTCTCCCGCGGCGCAAGAACGACGAGGGGTGACGCGGGCGCGAGAGGTCCAGGATTTTGTTAACGAGCGTCCGCGGGCACTCGCCGCTCATGCCCTCGGCGACGCGCTTGCGTGCGACGATCGAACTCACGTTCTGAAAGAATGGCGCCCCACCGTCTGCATATACCTGAACGGGGCATGAGATCAAGCCGAACTCGTCCTCGCAATAGTGGCCCTTAGCCAGGTTCTGCGCGATGAAGTGGCCGCCTGTGAACCTGGCCGTACCGTCGTCCTCCCTGAGCAGAGGCGTCAGACTCGCCCTGCACATGGTATCTGCGACAACGTGCCCTTGTGGACCTCCTGCAAATCCTTGTCACCTGGCTCCGAACTCGGCAAGACGGATACCCTGTTCGCCTGGCGGCCTGGCTCACGTGCCGACGGGTCGCATGGAGCGCTGCCACTCGCTATCGCTCTTCCTCCGCGGTCCTCCGCCTCGGCCACATTTGTATGGTTCCTGCGCGCTGGACTGGCAGGCGCCGCGGGGGAGACTCTCCTCGTATCCGACGCGGCGCAACGTCGATGGCCCAGGCCCAAAGGCCAGCTTCAGCGCCCAACCAATATTCTGAACGGTTGACCGAATTGACTGATTCATCTCCCGACTCCGTTTCGTCAAGCAACGCGCCCGCTCCAACACTCGTGGGCTGCGCGAGCGCTCGCGTCGCCCGCGCGAGCGCGCCATGCCATGCAAGCCGTTCCTGCGTCGCCTCCTCCGCGTGCGGCACGCGGCGGCCCCCATTCCAGAAACGCGACGTACCGCCAGCCGCCACACTGGGCCGAGGCCATCAGCTGGCGAGGGTCCGATCAGCACATCCCCCCTCGTGCCGCCAGGAACCAAATCGGCCCAGTGGCGTTTCGCTGTTCCGAATGCTGGCTGCTAATGAACACTCGTTGAGCCATGGAACGGCCACGAGTTGGAGGAGGAAGAAGAGGAGGACTAGGAGGGCGGAGGAGGAGGAGGAAGAAGAGGAGGAAAAATCGAAACCAATTGCCCTAGCCAGCCCAACCAGCCAACCCAACCAACCAGCCACCCAAACAACTCAACCGGCTCAACCAGCCCAACCAGCCACCCCGCAACCCCAGCCAACCCGCCACCCCGCCAACCCGCCCACCCCCGCCGCCTGCCCTCCGTCACCGTTGACAGGGGGGGGGAAGTGTTTCTTACAAGCGAAAACCACAAAAATCACCCTCCCGGGGTCCGGCGGGACAGCGGGGGGAGGGGAAATCGCGCCGTACTATGCGGGAGCGGGATTCGCGCCCGAGGTGCCCAAAGACGATTTGGGGCCTCAAATGCGACACTGTCGTCACTTTATTACCTTTCACCGCGCTCCCCTTCTCAACGGAAAGGCTCCCATCCGTGAAACTGTCGTCATTTTTCAGCCCCCGCGAGAGGCTTCTTAGAGGCCCCCAGAGGCTCCAGGAGGGCCCATGGCGGCCTCGGGAGTGCCTAGGAGACCTCCGGAGGGCCCCAGGAGGACCCACTCTGCACCGCGCCCCCCTTCTCAACGGAAAGGCCCCCATGCGTGAAATTGTTTTCATCATTCCGCCCCCGCGAGAGAGTTCTTAGAGGGCCCACGGAGGCTCCAGGAGGGCCCATGGCGGCCCAGGGAGAGCCCACGAGATCTCAAGAGCCCCCCCGAGGACCCACTTTGAATTACACTCAGGGAGCTCCAGAGGGCCCAGGAGGCTCCAAGAGGCGCCAAGAGGCCCCGAAGACCCCAACCAGGCTACAGGATCCCCAGCACGCTCTAGGAGAGCCACGGCGACACCAAGAGGCTCCAGGACGGGCGTCATTCCCTCTCCTCCTCCTGCTCGTCGTCGTCATCCTTCTCCTCATCCGTCCTGCTTCAAATCCTTCCTCCCCCTCTATCTCCTCCCTCTCCTCCTCTTTCTCCTCTTCCTCCGCCTCCTCCTCTTCCTCCTCCTCCTCCTCCTCCTACCTCATCCGTAGCCTCGATGGCTCCGATAGCGCCGTGCGCGAGATCCGCCTCCTCCCCATCCGTCCTCCTCCCTCCTCCCTCCTCCTTCCCTCCTCCCTCCTCCCTCCTCCCCTCTCTCGGGAGCGTCACAAAGAGGCCCTCCGAGGAGAATCTCACGACAACAAGGGCGCCGACCCGATGAACAGACACCACGTCGGGGCTCTGGGAACGGAGTCGAAGACGAAACCTCGAATAACTTAGTCTTCGATGTTCGGGGCATTTTTCTGACCACCTGCGAGCCTTGTGGAAACTTCCGAGAGCCTCAGGGGTGGACGTCTGGCGCAAGAACACGAGTGGAGGAGGAGACAACACGACGCTTGGTTTCTACCCCCGTTAGGGGCGTTACAGGGTAATGATAAGAAACCTACTAGTACTAATACTGATACTACTAATAATGACAATAATAGTGCCACGAATAACAATACTAATAATAATACAAATAATAAAGATAATAATAATGATATTCATAATAATAATAATAATAATAATAATAATAATAATAATGATGATGATAATAATAATAATAATAATAATAGCAATAATAATAACAATAATAATAATGATGCTAATAATACAAATATAGTAATATTAACCATACTAATACAACCGACTAATCATGCTACTAACAACAATAATAATCGTAATAAGAATGTTAATGTCATGTATAATACTATTAATAGTACTACCACTACTAATACTAATGAGAACGATGCTAATAATGATAAGAATATCAATAAAAAAAATAACATGAGAGGAGGACCAGGAGGGAGGAAAAGGAGGAAGAGGCGGAGGAGGAGGAGGAGGAGGAGGAGAAGGGGAAGAAGAGGAGGAGGAGGAGGAGGAGGAGGAGGAGGAGGAGGAGGGAGGAGGAGGAGGAGGAGGAGAGGAGGAGGAGGAGGGGAGGAGGAGGAGGAGGAGGAGGAGGAGGAGGAGGAGGAGGAGGAGGGGAGGAGGAGGAGGAGGAGGAGGAGGAGGAGGAGGAGGAGGAGAGGAGGAGGAGGAGGAGGAGGAGGAGGAGGAGGAGGAGGAGGAGGAGGAGGGAGGAGGCACAGGCGGACCCAAGAAGAGGACAAACAAGAGGCGGAAGAGGAGGCGGGGAAGGACGACGGGGGCAAACGACGAGGCGGAGAACGAGGATCAATCGGGGACAGCACGGAGCGGAAGAGAAAGAACCTGGGCCGTCATCATCGTCGCCGCCGTCCTCGTCGACGGCCGTCGCCGCCGTCGTCGCGGCGCGCGGAGCCGCAAATGCCTGCGCCGCCGTGGCGCGGAGCGCTGGCGCGGACTGAGGGGATCCGGGCGCCACGAAGGCGGCGGCGCCGCCGGCGCAGCCGAGGAGGGTGAAGGCCTTGGGTGAGGAAGGCGGAGGGAAGGGTGAAGAAGGCCTCCTCCTCTTCCTCCTCCTCTTCCTCCTCCTCCTCCTCCTCTTCCTTCTTTTCCTCCTCTTCCTCCTCGTCCTCCTTATCCTCCTCCCCCTCCTCCTGCTCCTCCTGCTCTTCCTCCTCCTCCTCCTCCTCCTCCTCCTCGTCCTCCTCCTCTTGAACCTGCAGAGTGTTCTGGCTGGTCGGAGCCTGCCTCCTCCTCCGCCTCCTTCTCCTCCTCCTCCTCCTCGTCCTCCTTCTCCTCCTCCCTTCACCTCAAATTCCTCGCTGCCCCTCTGGCTGTTTCAAACCTCGCACGGATGGAGGGCGGCCCGCTTCCACCAAACTGTGGTTCTCGCCGAAGCGCGCACATTCGTCTTAAAAGTTCCCACCATCTACACAGATGGAGGGCGAGTCCGTCAGAAAATGGGGCTACGAGCATCAGACTGCGCGCTGAAAACATATAATTGTGCATCAGCTGCACAGACGGAAGGCGCTTCATTCTAAAGGTTGGGATGTCGCTGGATACTTAGAAACAGTTCGCATGCTTGTTCAGAAGCGTAAGCATATGCAATAATTACTCGGATGTACGGTAATTTGTTTTGAAAACGGAATTTTCGCTGGACACGTGTTCTGCACATTTGTGTAAATATAAAAGTGTATACTGGAACCACTCGCGCTTAGATTCTAATAAGCTCTGGTCGTAGCTCCAGTGTCGGTATTGGAGAACGTAGATCGTCGCACGGGTCGTGCCCCTCAGGGAGCTCCACCTGCGGTCCCAATGGCAGGCTTGGCTAGCGTTCCCCAGCCCTTGTCGGCACAACCCTCACAGGGATCGCGCCCCACAGGGAGCTCCACCTACGTCCCCAGGCATGAAGTTCGCATAATGGCACGCCCCTCACGCGGATCGTACCCCGCAAATAGCTGCATTTGCGGCACTAGAATGAAGCTTCATAGCGTCGCCCCGCTCACTTCGGCACACCTCTCACACGGATCGTGGCCCGCAAGGAATTGTACAGGCTGGGGACAAAGTTCGCATCCCGCCCTCCCGTCTACTTCGGCACACCTCTCACAAGGATCGTGGATCTCCACTTATGGCCCCACAGGCAAGGTTCGAACTGCGCTCCCCCTGGCCATTGCGGCACACCCCATCACGCGCACCATGCCCACAATGAACACCGCCTGAAAGCCCAGAGACAAGGTTCGCACAGCGCTCCCCCGCCCATGTCGGCAGACCTGTCACGCGAACCAGGCCCCAGGAGGAGCTCCACCTATGGCACCAATGGGCAGCTTCGCATGGCGTGCCCCCGCCCATTTCGGAACATGCCTCGCGCAGGTCGTACCTGGGGGAGGCCCACCTGTGGCCTCAATGGGGGCGTTCGCGCGAAGGTGTCCGAATTGTTCGGCACACCCTTCACGCGGCACGCGGGTCGTGCCCGACATAGAACTCAGGATTTTAACACACCCGTGCACGCGTGCTCCGCAGCAGCCATCTTTCCGCACTGCCCCGCGGCGCGCAGTGTATGAAGGGAGACCCGCGCCCTGCGCTACACATGGCTGCAAGGAGATGGGTCCGTCGCCAGACCGACTGCTTGCTTAATCTATGGCATTCGGCCCATACCGCTAGTGTGCCTGAGTTCTGGGCCAGAGGATCCTTGGACACCTATAATTCGGGGTCTCTTGGCGTGATTCTAGGGCGCCTCGTGGAGTGAGTCTTGAAGCTTCTTGTGGCCTAATGTGGGCCATATGGGGGCTTCTTGGGGTATCTTTTGGGGCCCTTGAGGCCTCTTGGGTGCCTGCTGCGGCCTCGGCGGCCCGCTCGAGGCGGAAGGCTCGAAATGTCAGTTGGAGTTCCCCCTCTTGGACTCATCTTGGGGCCCTCGTGGGCCGTCTTGGGCGCCTCTTGGACAGTCTTGGGGCTCTCTTGGGCCATCCTGGCGCCCTCTTGGCAGCCTCTTGGGCCGTCTTGGAGCGATCTGTGGGGCCTCTTGGGCCGCTTGGGACGCTGTTAAGACCCAAAGTGCGAATATGCTAAACATGCACCTTCCCCCTAGGGGATGAAACAATTTGGGCCTCCTGGGGCCCTCTCGGGGCGCATCTTGGAGCCTTCGACTCTTCGGGTCCTCTTGAGCAGTCTTGAAACAATATCCGGGCGTCTTCGGCCCTGTCAGGCCGCTCTGGTCGTTTTTTGGTGACCTCTGGGAGGCCACCGAAGGGGTCAAACATGTCGTGGGGGAAATCCGAGAGCGTGTTCCAGCCCCGGCCAGCGGGCCCTCACCGAGCCCCGGAGTCCCTGTCTGCTCCGAGCCCTGCCATCTTAGCTTTTCAGATGCGAGCCGGGCGAAGATACTTTGAAATAGCTGAAAGGTTCTGAGGAACCTATTTCTCTTCCTTCCTCCTTCCTCCTCCTCCTCCTCATTACCACTATCACTCGCTGGGTGGTGCAATTCAGTCACAGACAGCTCCACTGAAGCAGTGACACATATTCACATGGCTAGAACTGGAAGTAAAAAGGTATCAGTCATGTGGATTGGGCCGAGACTTACGGCCCCAGGGTAGGCAAGGTTCACAAAGCGTCCCCCCACCAATTTCGGCACGGCCCTCACGGAGCCCCCCCGTGAGCCTCGGGTCCAGGGACAAAGTTTGCATGGCGTCTTTCACACTGTATCGGCACACCCTTCACGCGGATCGTGCCCTAGACGAATGTAGTTTCACGTGCGGTCCTGGTGGGAAGAATCGCATAACGTCAAGTCCCCCTGTGTATGCTGACTGTCTCCTCGCACGGATCGAACCCCACTGGGAGCTCCACCAACAGCCCCAAAGCCCAGGTTCGCATTCCGCCGCCCCGCCCATGTCGGCACACCCCTTATCTGAATTGTGAGGTCGGGGCGTCTTGGGTGTCTCTCGACGCGCGTGCTGCGGCGGCGCTGGGTCCTGGTTGCCCCTCTCCATCCTTCTCCTCCTCCTCGCCTCCTCCTCCTCCTCCTCCTTATCCTTCTGCTCCTCCTCCTCCTCCTCCTCCTCCTCCTTCTAATCCTCCTGCTCCTCCTCCTCTCCTCCTCCGCCGGAACGCCGAAGCCAGCAACGCAATTGCTCTCAATTCCGACCACAAAGCGGTATCTCTGCACATGCGCCTCAAACTATTGGATCCCAACGCAGGCAAACACCAGAGACTGGCCAGAAATACCACCAAGCCGGAACAAAGACACACCGACCCCAACGCGTATCGACGTCATCTGGGCTCCAAGTTGCAACCCGAGTTGCTACCAGCTGACCCCGACGACCACAACAAAACAATCGAAAATAGCTTGATCGACGCTACGCTGCAAACCACATCCCCCCGAGACGCACAAACCACTACGACAAGCACAAACAAATACGACGACCCCACCAGACCCGACGACATCATCAGCAACCTTGTGGAGCAGCGCAAATGCATTCCAAACGCAGACACGAGCAACAGAGGGACTATCAGCAAAGTAATACAGAAACACATTCGGCAACAGAAACGCACCAAACGACGACAGCAAATCAGCACCATCCTCGAACAGCACAGGGACCTCAAGCGCATCAGCTCCATCAAAACGAGAAGAAAACGAACGCTCATTATAGGAAGGAGAAACGGGGTGATGATGCTGCTGCTGATGATGATGATAATGATGATGATGGTGACGATGATGATGATGTTGATGATGCTGATGATGATGGTGATGGTGATCGTGATGGTGATGAGGATGGTGAATGATGGCGAACATGATGATGTTGATGATAATGGTGATGATGCTGATGTTGATGATGCTGATGCAAGGGATGATAGTGGTGATGGTGAAGATTATGACGATGATGATGATGATGATGACGACGAGTATGATGATGGTGGTGGTGATAATAGTGACGGTTATGGTTATGGCTATGGTGATGGTGGTGATGATGATGGTGATGCTGATGATGCTGATGTTGATGGTGATGGTGATGATGGTGATGATGATAACGTTGATGCTGGTGGTGATGGTGATGATGATGGTGGCGATGATGATGGTGATGATGATGATACTGATGATGATAATGATGATGATGATGATGCTGACGCTGATGGTGATTTTGATAATGTTGATGATAATGATGACAACGACGAAAACGATGCTGATGATTATGATGGTGATGATGCCGATGATGATGACGATTATGATGATGATGATGAGGATGATTACGGTGATGATGATGATGATGATGATGGTGGTGTTGCTGATGCTCCTGATGACGATGGTGGTGGTGATGATGATGATAATGATGATGATGCTGATGATGACGATTATGATGATAGTGGTGGTGGTGATGTCGGTGATGATGATGGGGGCGATGACGACGATAATGATGATGTTGATGATGATGCTGATGATGATGATGAGGATGATGTTGGTAATGCTGATGATGGTGACAATAATGATAAGCGGCGACGATGAAGATAATGATGATGATAGTGGTTAAGATGATGCGAATGATGATGATGATGATGATGATGGTGATGATGAGGATGATGATGACGATGATGCTGATGATGATGACGCTGATGACGATGATAGGGGTGAAGATGATCATGACGATGATGATGCTGATGATGATGATAATGGTGGTGATGACGGTGATGGTGATGGTGAGGATGACGATGATGAACATGATCATAGTGGTGGTGATGATGATCATGATGATGATGATGGTGATGGTGATGACGATGATGGTGATGACGATGATGGTGGTGACGATAGATGGTGATGGTGATGGTGATGATGATGATGATTATTATGATGAATATGATGGTGACGGCGAAAGTGATGGTCATGATGATGATGATGATGATGATGATGATGATGATGATGATGATGATGATGATGATGATGATGATGCGAATGAGGATGTCTAGAAAAGGAAGGGAATGTTCCCCAAATACTGCTTGCACGTAGGGGTTCTGTGCGTCGGTCTGGCGGAT